TTTTGCCTTTCTGATTTTCTCTCTACACATCTTAACAACTTCTCTGTACTCTGAGTCGCCCGTCCCTTCTTCCACAGGAGGTAGATTCTCTTTTCTCTGTACTCTTCCTGAGTCGCCCGTCCCTTCTTCCACAGGAGGTAGATTCTCTTTTTCTCCTGGAGCCTCAAGAATCACTCCCTGTTCATCCATGCTGGTCTTCTTCCCCGCTGGCTCATTTTGCGGCTCAGGAGGACAGCCAGCTCCTGCGCCTTTAATACTTCCTTCTTGAAGAGGTGACCGGCCATCTTGGACCCCTTTAATCTCTAAGACTAAAACCCAGGGATTCCCCCTACTAGCTTTCTGAATAATTCCAAGTCCAACCTCTGGAAGTCCAAGGCAGCAGTTTTGCTGTTCCCTCTCTTGGCTCCATCAAGAATCGAGAACAATTAAACAGTGGCAGACTCATGCCACTGTCTCACTTGGATGTGTCTGCAGTCTTGGAAGCTTGACTACCCTACATTCTGTTACAAATGGACCTTGAGCTTGTTTGGAGGTTCTAGCAGGGGAGTGCAGCTACTGTATACACTTGACCGATGAATGGTACTGTCTCTATCGTGGTAGGTCATCCTCTTCGACCGACTGTGCAGCTTCAGGAGGGACACACATGGAGCAGTGAGGAAGGGGACCCACCTAGCCAGCCAGATCAGCTGAATCAACCAATCAAAGGCGATCAATGGGGTGACAGATGTTGCAGCCAGATCGCCCTCACATCATCCTTGCGCAGCAGCCATGCTAATCTTCTCTGCATCATTCCAATTTTAGTATATGTGTTGCTGAAGCGATCACCTTGCAGCAAACATTTTGTGTTCCTGACATGAAAAAGACTCCCTTCATCTTCCCCTCTTGCTGCAGCTGCAATGGAGGCACTGGTACGACTCACATTTTTGACAAAGCTACAGTTCTGGCTTACTCAGGCACAGCTGCAGTCCTTCTCCCTTCCAGCTAACACACCAGCCCAATGGCTGAGCAACTCCATCAGCGAGAGCGGGCAGCACCTGTCAGCCACCACCACTATCACTGCCAGCCGGGACGAGAGCTGACGCAGCGTGTCCACACTCCTGCGCAGCGCTCACGGCTGTGGCACTCACTGGTGGCAGCCACGGCCCCAAGAACAGCGCTTGTGATGTCACAGTGCTTGTAATGTCACCATGCTTGTGATGTCACAGTGCTTGTGAAGTCATTGTGCTTGTGAAGTCACTGTGTTTGTGATGTCACAGTGCTCGTGATGTCACCAGACAGTCCACGTCCCCAGCTGAAGACCTGGCTCTCCACCATGACTTCAGTGGGGTTTTGTAAAAAATATGTTGGATACGGTCCAGCCAGCGATCTGTAGGTCAATAAAGCACAAACTGCACTGCATGAAGTCTGTGCTCTTCTTCGTCATGTCTGAAATGAAGGCTGGGGCCCTGCAGCAATTTTGCAGGGCTGTAGTGGCAATGCTCAGTCACAGCTTGAAGCAGTGATTGAGCACCTGGTGGGAAGGCAGGGCCAACCCAGGGCAGCTCAGGCGCATGCAAACCCTTCCGAGACCTCATTGAAGGGTTGGCACGGGAGGCAAGGGTGTCTGACTGGAGATCCCTGCTACCTGAGGCCTTACAAAGCTCAGCAGCTTTTTTCCTTTCTTTCTGTGCCCACAACTGTTGCACTTGGGCAAATCCTCACTTGCTGCAGCCGAGGATTTTGCCACCTTGTTATTATGCTGCACTTTTCATAGCACTGTAGCATTACATTTGACAATTTGTCATCCTCACCGAAATGTGTACCGGAATCTCACAAAGAATCAATTTCCCCTGGAAACAGCCATTTGGAAGGGCCTCGTTTGTGCTGGGAACTCCTCCCCAGCCTAGCTTTTCTGCTGAGACTCCTTCCAGCAATCACGCAGCACCAAACCTAGTTCACCTCTTTGTCCAGGTCAGTCTGGGCTGTGCCCAGGTCACACACACGCCACAGCAGTGCTTCTAATGGGCTCTCCAAGGATGATCCCTTCCAAGGAACGCTCAGAGCTCAGTCTCTTCATGCAGCACACTCACCAGAGCACCAGCTCTGCTGACCAGCTGAGGGTCAAAACCTCCCCCCCAGCAATGATTGTGACCTCAGCAAAGATCTGCATCGCTTCTGCACTTTCATTATAAACAAAGGAAGTGGACGCCTCCCAGATCCAAATTCTAAGAGACTGATACAAGGGTCACCCAAGTTATTTGGGGTTATTTGAAGTAAGATAACAGGGAAGTTAAGGTGACTTTTGTGCAGCCATCTCGGGTCACCCTCTCGCTCAGGCACCACATGATTGCACCCGGGGGACGTTGCCTCTGGGTTGCCTCCAGCTGGGAGGCCTGAAGGATTTGATTTTCCAAACAATCGGCAAGCATTTGGATGAGCCAGCCCTCTGGTTTTTACAAGGACAGACACGTCCTACTTGGGAAGCCAGCTCAGCGAAGGCAGAATAGCTCTGGTCTGGCCGCAGCACTCCATTGCCAGGCGCCGCTCAAACACCTGGGCTGCATTTCCTCCTGGGCTCCCACGCATGCTCTGACTCTCCTGCAGGTTTCTGCAGGTTTTGTGGCTTCCTGCTGGGGAGCTCCTCACGTTCTTCTGCAACTGTCCCCCGACATCATTACTTCCGCCTCTGGTACCACACCAGGAGATGCCTCAGAGTTCATTAGCCTGGACTTCCTGCCTCCCATCAGCAGCTGCTCCTACACCGACCTTCATTCATAGCGGCCACTTCCAGCATGAGCTGCCCTGCAAGGCAGAGAAAGGAAACGTGGGATTAGCACAAACATGGAAGCCCAAGGCTGTGTTACCACCACCTATTGCAGTCTTGGGAAGTCAGCTGCAACTACAGCCTTTGTCTGAATTAAAACAGGCACCTTAAATTAAGTGGCCTCTGAACTGAATAATTGCCACAATCAGAAATAGATTCTGAAATCGCTTGCTGGAGTTCAAATTTGAGTTCTTGTGCTTTTTGAAAAATACGGACTTGGAATTGAAGGATACAAGAAAAATGGTATCTTCTTCACTGTAGGCAGTAAGGGTTAGAAGTTGGACTCTAACAAGAGAAGGTTTTCCTTCTCCGTATAAGGCACAAAGTGATGGGATGATTTCCCATGCCTGCAGAAAGCCTGATCTGCTCTGCCACAGGCAGCTGAGTGAAACAAAAGCTGTGCTGCCCATTCAGAAACACGTGGGGCACGGGCATGGAGTGGTTACACACCAACACGTGGGAGGTAAACATTCCTTGGGCACTTTTCCCATCGTAAGAGAAGTCCCTTTTCTCTGTCATGCCATGTCCCTACCTGCTCCGCAGGGCTGTATGACAGTCAGCACAGGAACGATGCAAACGTTCTTTCGTCATCACAGTGGTTTTCAACAGATCCAAATCATGAGACTTCAGTTTGCTGTGTGGGCTCCTGGGTGACACCGCCATTTCCAAGCCATTGCTTCCTAGGGGCAAATAAAGGAAAACACTGAATGAAATTTCATGCAGAGACTGCACATCTTACCAATCTTTTACACAAATCAGAATGACAAAACAGGAGATACGTGCAGCTGCATCAACACCCCAGCTGATGAAGGAATGGAGAGACAAATATCAAACTTCAGAACATCATTCTAACACAATGAGGGAAGCTTTTTTTACAATATTAAAAAAAAAAAACAAAACAAAACACCCTCGGTCCCTTTTTGGGTGCCAGCATCCCACCCAGAATTCTGTGTCCCCCTTGGAATGTTGGATTCTCTCCCTGTGTTCCTGAGTTCTTGGGGCACTCAATGGGACCCATGTCCCACCCACCACCCTTCTGAAGACCATCTGATTGCTTTACTCAGTACTCCCCCTCTTCCCTTGTTCATCCCAAGGGCTACTCACCAGCACCTGTCCAGGCTCCAGCTTCTTCACCGTGTGGAAGACATGGACTTCGGTACCAATGACACTACCAGGGCTGTCCTGGATGAGGACACAGAAGAATCTGGGGATCTTGTTTCTGAAGCAGTGTTCAGCCAAAAGGTAGAGGCAGAAGCTTGAGAAATCATGCTGGAGGTGGTCAAAGGTGCAGGCATGGCCCACACCCAGGGGCCTGCTAAGGCAGGTGGCATTGGAGAGGAATTGTTTGGGGATGAGGTTGAGGTTGGGGACAAGGTTTGGGATGGTGGCACACAGCTCCTGTGAGTGTTTGGATGAGCAGAACGGGGCTGGGGGAAGAGAAGGGGCAGTGGTTAGATTAGTGATCCTTCTGGAAGGGTTCCGCAGCTCTCCAACCATCCTCCATTTCTCCTTCCCTCCTTCTTCATCCATTTCTCCATCCCTTCAACCCTCTTCACCCACTTCTCCATCTCTTCATCCATTCATTTATTTCTTCCTCCTTCCCTCACTCACTACTTCAACCATTTTTCAATCCCTTTCTCCATTCATCACCCTTCTCCAGCCTCTTTCCTTATTTCCATTTCTCCCTATCCCCATCCACTTTCTCATCCTAACCCTATTTCCAGACACCACAACTGTGCTCCCCATCCTATCCCCAACCCTGTGTTATCCTGTCCTGTCAGCGGTTTATGGGCTGGTTCATCCCATTCCCCACCCAACCCCATCTCCAGACCCCAGAACTGTGCACCCAATCCCATTTCCATCCTCCCCCTATTCTCAAGATGGACACAGATCCCACAGAGCTGTTCCTGCAGCTCCTTCGCTGCGGTCACTGTCACAGCACTGTCACCGCTGAAGGCCACGTGCACCCCCAGAAGCAGCATCATCCTTTGCTGTCCCCCCTCTGCTCCATGTGCACTCAGCCCCCTAACATCAGCAGGGGCAGGGGGACAGAGCACCCAACCTCCTGGAGAGGTGACATCAGCGGGACAGTGCAGTGGGGACACTTCCTTGGTCTTGGAAATGAGGCGGAGTGGACACGGGACAAGGAAATCTCAGGATCCCTGAGTTCACAACTCAAATACGGGGTCATGGGGTTGTAGATGGGATAGGGAGATCCCAGACACCCCTGTTATGGGAACTGAGGTCTGGAAATACAATGGGGGTATCCCAGACAGCTAGTTCCACCACTAAGCTGTAGGGACTGGGGCTGAAAATGGGATGGGATGATCTCAGACATCTGGTCTACCACCAACTTGGAGTTCTAGAATTTGGGACGCCCCACACCCTGGGTCCCCTGGAACACCCCGCTCTGCTCACACACCTCAGTGCCCATCTCCTTCCCCTTGTCATTTTCTCCTTTCCTCAGACCAGAGCAACTTCGTAGCCACTGAAGCACAGGGTAATCAAAGGACACAGCTGGTCCCGTGCCTTATCAGCCTCTCACTGTGACATTGAGGAAGGGCTTCTGGGTACCAGAGGTGCTCACCAGTGTTTAGGTGCATGGTCATCCCAACGTGTGCCCTTCCCATCAAATGCTGAGTAATGCCAGTGCCTCAGGACATGGCAAATGAGCAGAAGGTGGTAGGCACACATCACAGTGAGTGGATGGCATTCTAAATGTGGCCTCACCAGGGCAGAACAGAGGGGAAGGATCCCCTCCATCACCCTGCTAAGTCTGAGACATGGCTGTTATGCAGGGGGACTTATATTTTGTCATCAGCTTTCTAAGTTTTTAGATGGTCTTCACTGTTCTCTTTAGTATAAGTAAAACCATTCTGTGTGTTAGGTATTTTTTATTATTATCTTTGCCAGTACAGTAAAGGTTTGACTTAAAAGAAATAACCAATCTCAAGGAGAGGTGATCTTTCACAGGTAACTTGCTTACTTCTTGGCTCCTTGTCTCAGTGATCTTTGTCTTCCT